TTGCTAACAGCATTCATTTGGTTTATTCACACACTAGTTATTATTTTCCTGTTTTGCTATGTAAATAATGAGTACATCTTACATTGTTAATTTTATAGTTTGGGGTAAACTAGAGAAATTCTCCCTTTACTTTTCACCATCGCCTTAGTTTCATCCTTTCAAGCCAGAAGGCTGCCTTAGTTGAAGTCACTAGGTTTTAAAAGTTGCTTGCTCTGTCAAAACCATTCTTCAAATCATGATGTTACCCTTAATCACAGGTGGACAGATCCCTGCCAATCCTGCTCATCCTGACTGCTGATGGCAAGACCAGAGTCCAACAGACCCTTGTTTCTGCAGATTGGTTGGTTTGTGAATTGCTTTCTTTATCCCCTGCCTCCACTTCTAACCCAGCCAGCGGGTTCACAGCTTGAGCCGGTCTGCAGCCATCACAAATGTGGCCTCATCCATCTCTCTCTTGTGCTCAAGCAGCTACAGGGGCTTATCGAAAACTAACCCAGATAATAATTTGTTTTTCAGAGACTGGATCCATTGGCTGAAGGATCATGCCACATACTGGATCATTATACCAGATGGGTCATTACTAAACCACCTGCTGTGGGTATGTCAAGATGACGAGAGCACTTTTATAAAAATATCAAAGATGAACAGAACGTGCGCATGCACTGACAGATCAGTAACTCACTTTCTATTACGGTAAATAAAATGTTTGAGATGACATCTCTATTTGAACAAGGTAATACTAAGCCAGATACACGGATCTTCACATCCAGAAGTTCGTTCTGCCCGATTTGTAGAACCTGCAACCACATGGATGTTCCATTGTAGCGTTATGTTAACAGCATCACAGTAGCAAATCTTCACAAATGAAATTTTGGGAATAAGTACCTTCTAACATAATTCTGTATCTGGCAATACAAGAAGTGTATCTGCAATGACAAGAAAGGGGCCAGCATTCAACCTGCAGAGCTGAGAGACTGCAATGTCCTCACATGCCAGTGAGCCTGAAAACATCAGCTTAATAGACAGCTCCCTTCTAACTGCATTTGTAGGGTCTGTGCAGGAATAACCTAACAAAAGATGTTTCTGTAACTTAAGTGAAATATAAAAATCTTAACAAGCAATATACGTTGAAAATGCATAGCTAGTGCAGAACAGGTATCCCACAAGCCTACTAACATAAAAGATATTGCAACATAGCTATTATTTGTGTCTCATTACAAATCAGGTAACCTGTAACACACTTCAGAGGTTCACCCTGTTAAGAAAATCTGCATGTCTATATTCATACAATTCTAGAAAGCCATCATGAGGGAAAACACACAGAAGCTTGCAGCAGCTAAAAAATGAAAATGCCATAGAGCCAAGATAAATGCATAAACAGGTCAAAGTTTGTAACTGAACATATTATTAGAACAAGTTAGTAAAAAGACAATGCTTTAGGTGAAGAAAGGCGTCTTCGGGTCCACATCACAATAATCTGAAAACTAAAGCTTCAGTTCCACCACCAAAGTCTAACTGCTGGCTGGCTGCATATTTGTGGTTCATTAGAAATACCTTGTAATAGGTAGTACAAAAATCGGTACAAACCATGTGGTGTAAGCAAAGGAGTCAAAATCTACAACGGATTCCAAACAGCTTAAATGAGGAAGAGGTAAGTTTGGCACAGAGTTGAGGAGGGGAAGGGGTGTGAAGGCAAAAAAGCAACCAAACCTTTAAAGGTTTTAAGAAGGGAAGACACAGCAGGATAGCGCAAGATTTTACTGTTGCAGTATTACTCAAGCAAGAGATTTACCCATAGTAACCATGCACAGAACATCACTGGTTGCACTAGTGATAGCAACCTAACAAAAAAATGAGGCTGACAAAGCACTGATTTTTGCCTTAATTTTAATGCTGAAGCTATTACTATTGTTATTGGTTCTTCTCATCATTTTAATACATTTGAGATAACCAGATTTTTCAGACTACCAGTCTATAGCTGTCCATAATATTGGACTACTCCCTTATCTCCCCACCCCAAGCTCACAAAGGTCTAAATCCATTTCCTGATTCTTGAAAGATGCTTCTCTGGCTCACCAGCACTTTAATTTTTGTGGTGGTGGATAAGAACGTATTGATAATTTTACTCCAGGAAATATACTAAGTACAATGCTACAACAGAGGAGACCACCTAGTAAACCACAGTGCCTGAAAGCGTCCAGATGCCACAGGCACTCAATCTGGGAGTAGTTTTGTTTCTGGGCTACATGCAGTATGTATGACAGAATGAAAAAAAATAGTTATAATCCTTTCCCCTCTACTAACCCCCTCAACGCACCAGGAAAAGTGGTAAGGAAAAAGCTACAGAAACAGAACAAGGGAGCTTTTGACAAATAGATAACTGATGTTCAGAGCAAGAACCTATGTTGGTTTATACCCAGTTTATTTTTATGTACTTAAAAGAATTAAGCAGCAACATTTAATCTGAAAAACTGCCATTCTAGGAAGGACATACTTGCTTCACACTGTAACCTGCTGTTGCAAATATGATGTCTGACCACTGCCAAACTGCCCTTCCATCAAATTACAAAGCTTCTGTAATGCTTTTACCAATAGCTGACATTTGAAGTTTCCCACGTTTGTTGTTTTATAGTAAAAATAGCTTTCAGTGTTGTTTTATAGAGATTTAAAAGTATACCAAAGGTATTTACAGAAGACAGTTTTAATGGCAGCTTGCAGAAAACTTTTCTTCAGCCCTGGAGCACACCAAAGCAGCAGAGTAAACACAGGACCTTCATTTCAAGGTATTTCCAAGAACAGGTATTCATTTATAGAAATTAGGTTTCCAGACATTTTTATGTAGGTATTGAAGTAGTATTAACTTTTTCAATTAATTTTGTGTGCCTTCTGAGTTTCACTCTGGCAGTAGCTAAAACTTACTATTAGAGTTTGTAAACTTTACACATTTTCTGCTACTAAGTTTCCTTTCATAAAGTCTATTTGATCCAGATGCAGGACTTCTGTAATTGTTTCCAGCCTTGTGACCAGCATTTCTGTCAGTAATTTTGTGACATGCAGAGTTGAGGAAACATTTATAGTTAAAAGTGGCAAAGAGTCTACAAGTATTAATACAAAGACATTCTTACTTAGAAAGCAGCAATTTGGTAATTTATGCATCCATGTATGATAGTTGTTTTTAAGAAATACATGTATTTCTTCACTTCAAAGCAGAAAGTCAGTCACCCCTCCTTCCTTACCTGCACACCCACTGTTTTCCTTCGGCTTTTGAAATTGTGTAAGAGCAGAGCCCTGGTTACACAGAAGTCATCAATTTCTCACGTTCAGGGCTGGGTAAGTTGCCTTCGCCAGCATTTCATTTTACTTTGAACCCTTTAAAGTTGCTTGGTATCTCAACACCCTACCTAGAAGTAATTATTGCCTGTTCCACTGCAAAACCAGTAGAAGTAGACAACTTACAGAGAATGCGTGTGATCCAGCAGAAGATACTGTTCTGTGAAGAAAGATGAAAGGTACGTCTCTGTTCAAGGCTCTGCACATCCAGCAAATGGCTTTCCTGTGCTGAAAGGCCTCACATAATCAGGGGCTATTCCACTGCCAGTAGTGGGAGAGAAAGAGACAGTGTCAGCTTCTCTCAAGCCATTCAATTCTGCTCACTATTCTTTCCTCCACAATGTACTCCTCCAAGCTAAGTCAGCTAGTCCAGCTCTTAAGATCCCAAAGTTCCAGGGCAGCTACTTAGTCCAACAATGCTGCTTTTTGGAATAAAAATCCACCTGGAATACCTTGTATTATGGATTAATTTTTGTCCCTTTACATTTTAAAGATCCTTTTCTAGGTATCCACTACCCTAAGTTCAACTGAAAAGCTTATTTTCTACTTCAACATACTGAAAGAGTAGATTTGACAATCTATCAGAGCAGTATTCTGCTACCAAACTGCATGAATACACTTTATGTCACAGCTGTCATGTTAAAAGGGAAACATCTGAGTTGCTTCTGATGATGACCTAGTTCCACTGCTCAATAAAGTTAGAGGCTAAAATTTACTCATCTTCACGTGTAGGCAGAAATACTGGTCTGTGACTTCCACTGCAGCAGCGCAAGGTTGTACCTATAAAGTAACTCTGCTTTCTTAAAGTTAATAATCTGATCAGTATTTCTAAAGTAAGTCTTTTAAGTTAATTGTTGGCATCCAAAGCAACTCAACCCCCCTTTCCCCAACACTGTACATTACCTCAAAATGCAACTGCGGAGGAAAAAGCCATTGGACAAACGAACTTCAGTTTTGCTCCTGAAGAACTGAAAAATACCGCCACCCTGTGGATGCCAAAATGTTTAAGCTTTCCAAACTAACAATACAACAGGATCTGCTGCAGAGCAGGTGAAGAGAATTTTCCACACCAAAAAACCCCAGGCCAACAAAACCACCACCGACCATGTAAGAAAGTATAGGCTGCAACTATAACAGCGCTGGCTTAAGGTAATTCTCTGTAATTATATCAGGGGAAGTGCCAAAACACCTTGACATAGTGTTTTGGGGTTTTTTTTGTTTTTGAAATATAGCACTTGCTACAAACATCTGCTTTCCTCTTACCACTAACAAGAAAGGATTTTAACAGTGAAGCTGTTTTCCACAGTACATCTTTCACAAAGATACTTTAGTGTGATGTTAGTCATAAGTTTACTTACAGCGTTGCAACTTCCTTAAAAATACCAGTTTAAGCATTTCCACATCGTCTAAGGGTTCCTACATTCCACATGAAAGCAGCCCTTATGTAGTGAACACATAGCACATAATTAGGTCAATTAGTTATTTCTAAATATTTATACCAGTTACTTACCTCAAGCCTACGTAACATACTGCAAAACACACATTTAGCAGGTAAAAAAACTCACAAAAACAAGGCAAGAGATTCAGAAGTGTGTCTGTCTTTGAATGATCTTTCACGCCTTTTGGTAAGAACCAGAGTGAACAAAGAAAGACACACCAAATACAACTGGGTTGCAAGTTTTAACGTTTATTTCCCCAAGACAGCCTAGCCTGCACTCTACTTGGATAAATTTCACAAGCTAGTTTCCGCTGCTTCTAGTTTTAAACTTTAACCATGTTTCTGATGACAAGGAATGCTGCAAAAATACTCTAGTCCAACAAAGAGTTATGATCACAAAATAATCTTTATCCATTCTACAGTGTTTCAGAATTACCAGTTGATTTTAAAACACAAGGTAGATATAGATGCTAATGGTGGCTAATCTGGTACATTTTATTATAGCAAACTGTTGTTCATGCAACACTTGTGCTCAAAGGGGAAGGCACAGCATTTCCTACAATGAGCCACCTTATAAAGAGTTCATTTTGTACAAATTTGTAACATCACCTTTAATTTAGTGTGCAGAACCTCAAAACTGAGGCAGTACTCCAATTATAAAAACACTTGCATTCTTTTTGTGCAAGTTTTAAAAATACAAAGTTTTCTCTCTAAAGTGGCTCAAAATAGATTGTTCATGGCTGCCTACATCTAAGATAAAAAGAGTCTAAAACAATTGGATTAGGCATAGTAAAGGTGTTCAAACCATGACTTGATTTGTACATCTATTCACACCTCTTTTTCGGTCTTTATTCGGCAGTACATATGCACCAAATTTCATTTTTAGAAGTTTCCATATCATTTTCATAGAAAACAAAGTTTGAAAACAAGTAACATTGAAAACACAGCACAGTATTATTCTACCACAACGGAAACATTTGGTTACAGGACTCAACAAAATCTAAAAATGAACTATGCTGTAGATTACCACATGCAAAGGTCTTCATGTTATCTTTGAAAATGAAAAGGATGATATTTTATTACCACATTTTACTGCTTCCTACTATTATGGCAACTTGTGTACTGCAACACAGTCTATTTGAAGGGAAATGTATGATTTTTTTCATGCAAAAATCTACAAATTAGTTTTGATGATATGGAAAGCTTTTCATAACATCAAACATTCATCTGGTGCAAATGCACAGGGAAGCCTTCCTGAAATTCTGACTTTACAAACAACTAATAAGCCATACAGGAAAGAAAAGTAACTGAAAGAAAAATAAGAGGGAAAAAAAACCAAAACAAAACAAAAAAAGAAACACAGGCTGGAGGAGTAAACCAGAGTCTGCTGCTAAACCGGTCTTCATTTGTGTGTCCAGTGTAAGTTAACACTTATGAACTCATTTTGATGATTTACTAGGTTTATTATCAGCCCCCTGAAGGCGAATCAAGCTTGCATGCGTTCACATACAGCATCACAACCATACTCTCGTACACACGCCACTCCGGACTAGGAGCCTGCTTCAGGACCGAAGAGCCCCGTGTTTGAAACGTGAGCCTGGCTCCACAGCATTGAGTCCAGACATTCATTCAACGTTGTCCATTCACACGGTGCTTCATAGCAAGGCCTGGGCTCATTCTCCTTGGACTTATGTGGGCATCCTATTCTCTTATGCTTTACAAGGCTTGATGATGATAGTACTGCATTTCCCCCCAATTGCTCTAGTAAGTCATTGTTCCTTCTCAGGCACTGAAGATCTTTGACCTGTAGCCCTTTTTTCTTTGAACAATCTAAATAAGCATTCAGTGTGAAGTTTTTCATTACATTTTGCCACTCATTCTCACTCGCACCCACTCGCCATCTTGACTTCATTTGGGCTTTTCTGTGATTCCAAATGAAATCTTCACATTTTCTTTCCCGATTTAATGCAGCAGCGGATCCCATGAGCCAAGATTGATGGATCAAACCTTTTTTTATTCAGAGCTGCATTGTACCTAACTTCCGAAATACCACTCTAAAACTGGAACCCTTCTGCTGGTACATTGGCAGATGAATTGAAACCAAATGTTCCGCCTTGTATTGCTTCTGGAACAAGGCTAGGATCTTCGTCAATCTGTAACAGAACGAGGATATCATGAGTAGGAAAAAACAAAGCCTCACCAAAAAGGAGCTGCACAATCCTAAAAAGCATCTCTCTCTTCTCCTAATATAATTCCTAGCATCGAGTCTTGCCATTCTTCTTCACCAGTTTAGTAACTGCACTATAATGACAAAGTGCTTTAGGCTGAAATGCTTTAGCTCATATTTGGTAGGTATATGGCACCCAATAGTCTCTCGTTTATGTAGTTTTCACTCCTGGAAGCATTGTCAGTCACGTATTGTCCTTATTGCCAGCTTACAAACCATCACAGTTCCTAAGAGAACACCAATACCATTAAATCAAGCAAGGATTAAGATGAAACTCATTTTCGGTTAAATAGGTAGTATACAAGTTACAAAACTGACACTAGATTAAATTCCAAGTCTTCCTCTACATGTGAAGTTTGAGTTGCTAAAAAAGATTTGCATCTTACTGTTCATGTAAAAGTCAAACTCCAGCACAAAAACTTCAATGTGGAGAGCAGGGCATGAATGCAACTGAGCTCTACTGTTTCTGGAGTAATTTTTGTTTCTGCAGTTATTTTTGCTTTCCAAAGTTCTTCAGGTAGAAAACCCTCACTTCATGACACAGACATAACTCACTTACTTCGTATGCAATTAAGCTTTTTGATTTAAAAGTGCATACAAATCTAAAACCTTCTTTTATGTTACATGTTCAAAATGAAAGCATTCTTGATGAGCACATCCTACCTCTGAAATTACTGAAATATTTAAAATAGTTTGTTTCTTAAGAAGCAGGAACTCAGATTCAGTACTCAAGTCAGCAGGGAGGTTATCAGATGTGAAGTACCAAGCTTAGAAGTTGACAGTCAAGAGTGTTATTCAAAGCCTAGTATTGTAAACCCTAGAGACAGGATTTAAATTAGGCAAATCTTCAGATGCTTCATTATGAAGAATGGCAACATATGCAATAGCTTCAAATAAGGGTCATTTTTCACTGAAAAAACAAACAAATGTCCCAAAGCAGGCTTCAGAGGTGCTGCCTTGATCTTGAACCATCTTTATAAATATAAGCAACTACAAAAGCAGACTGCAGAGCTATTACACACTTACATCATCTGAAGAGAAGAACTGATCAATGATCTCATAAGCCAGTTTGTAGATGTCTTCATTTTCATGATTTTGTAGCTGTTCAATTTTCTCCAGGCCTACAAATAAATACACAAGAAATGTAACTGACTTAAAATACTAAGTTCAGTCAAGATAACTTCTCCCCCCTTAAGGCTTCATTATACAGAGTAACTAAAAACAAATCTAGGCATAGAGTGACTATGAGTAAGATGCTGTTAAAGTCATATGACATACTTAAATCAAAAAAGCTTCTTAGGGATTCCAGGAAATATAAACTGAAGAATACATACCATGACAAAAAAAAAAAAAAAATCATGAAAGATCACAGAATCATAATCATTAGGGTTGGAAGGGACCTCTGGAAACAATCTAGTCCAACCCCCTGCCAAGGCAGGGCCACCTAGAGCAGGTTACACAGGAACATGTCCAGGTGGGTTCTGAATGTCCCCAGAGAGGGAGACTCCACAATCCATCCTGGGCAACCTGTTCCAGTGCTCTGCCAC